ACCTGTTTTGGTTATTATTGCAGCATTAGCATCTCCATAAGAAAGCAATAGATCAATCATTGTTATAGATCGATTGAAAAGACATGCTATATGCAAAGGAGTGAACCATTTATTTGTTACTAACTTGAGTGTATCAGGAGTAATCAGTTTTTGTAATAATTGGAGATTATTATCGACAATGGCATAATGAATAGGATATAGATTCTCCCAAGATACTAACAGAATTTCGTACGGATAAGAAGCAGAAATACTGTGTAGAAATGAGTTAGCATAGGCGAGAGAACACGAACCGAATTTATTAACAGGTGCCCCAGCGTCGAGTAAAGCTTGAATTGTTTCCATCGAGCGTGATTGACAAGCAAACATAAATGCTCCACGCATAGTAGCACCCGAATTGCCACCAGACAACATTTGATCAACTTCAATACCAGCATTCAACATACACTGTACAATGTCTCTATGACCAAGAAGACATGCACGTTGATAAGCTGTTTGTTGTTCTTCGTGTGGTGATGACCATTCAGAAGGGAAAATACGAGGTATTTGACATAACTGTTGAAGTTCATCTTTCTCGAAATTCTTTACAACAGGCACATTATTTGTTTCGACAGCATCGAAAAGTATTTCTTCGTTAGATCCATTATTTAATTCAGAAGAACTAGTTTTATTGTCGATCGTAATATTTTCTGCACAGGCCATTATGTATGAATGAATAAAGTGACTCGATACTTTCAAGAATATTTGTGTTCTGTAACTTGCATTAATTTTGCTTCATTCTTTTAATCTTCTCGTTTTTCCCCACTATATTACACAACTTTATTGCAACACATCATACAAAAAAGCATATGGTTATCTTATACATTACTTGTGTAAATGCGATACATACACAGAACGAGTAGAATATGAAGTTGTGTTATAGTTCTGATACAAAAGAACACCAGATGGATGTAGGGTTGTATATAACAGAAATTTTTTTCTTTCATTCGGTTGTTGATCATAATGCAAGTAGTTATTGAAGTCGAGAATGTTTCTATTCATTAAAGAAAGAAGAAAAAATGTGCTTACTTTCATGCGAGCAGAAAGTTTGTCACTTTCTTGCAAGGGGGAAATAGCGTACTTTAAAGCATAAAGTATCATAAAGTACTATAAAGTATCAAAGTAGCTTAAAGTAGGCTCGAAATACCACAAAGTGGTGTAAAGTAGACTGAAGTAGTCTAAAGTGGTATAAAGTAACATAAAGTAGGTTGAAGTAGCTTAAAAGTAACTTAAAATAGGGTAAAGTAGCTCAAATTCACTTGAAGTACAAAATTACGCATTTTCTTCCTTGGGAGTAGATGCGAATATGACTGTGGAGTAGGTTTGGATATTGTCTTCACTTATCATACACCCATACACAATCCAACACCCACACCCTAAGTTGGTGGTACATTTCATTTTGAACCAATCCTCAACATAAGCAAGTAACTTGATTAGCTTTGACAGAAAAAGATTTAATTTTATTTCTTTGAGTTATTTATAGCATCGGATAAAACGTCTTTTCTTCTCATTGTTTCTATATTATCATACTTTGCATCAAATTTATGACCAAATCAAGATATGACATAAAAGTTTTATTGCAGTGAGATATATATACTATATTGAAATGAAACTTTCATGTCATATTTTTACGAGGCAATACCTTTGGTGCAATACATTAACAGGTATACATTTTTATTGTAAAACGTGAAAATATGATCACTTGCAGTCATATAAGTATAAAAAAGATTGACTTATGACTTGATATCATTTAAAATAAAACGATTCTGATTCCTGAAATATTCTTTTTGATCATGTTTACAACTATTGCAAAAATAGCAAGTAAAAATCAGTCGATATATATTTTTTTCTAGTTTTATTTATCTCCTTTATACTACTGAGAATGATATTATCAATGAATACAAAATCATTTTTATGTTATTTGATTTCTTTCTTTCCTTATGTAAATCGACTCAGATAAGAGAGTAATAATAAAAAGTGAAAAATCAAATTTCATATAGGTTATTCAAGCTGATAATAATCAGGTAGTTCTGAGGGTGTGGGTGTGGGTAAATAAATGATGAATCCACACGCACGCCGACACCCTTTCAGTTTATTCGAAAGAAAATGTTTTTAATTTATAGATTTTATATAAATTTCATAAAATAAAACTAATGACACCTTATTCAGAATCGATATATTCTATGTCGGAAGATAATAATTTTGAAACATATTCTCTTATATGGCTTGATGCTTCAGCTAACTCAAAAGATAATATTGAAACTCAAGCAATATTTCGATCATTTATAAATCATTTACAAATATTCGAAAATCTTGATCAATGTGAACAATATATTCAATCAGTTTCACTAGATGATCGAATTGTTTTTGTTGTTAGTGGTAGTTTTGGTCAACAAATTATACCTAAAATTCATTCTCTTCAACAAATTTTTTCAATTTATATTTATTGTGAAAATCAACAGTTTCATCATCAATGGAGTCAACAATATAATAAAGTAAAATAATAAGAAGGGAACAAAAATCATTATAGACGTTTCATCTTATCTTAGGTAAAAAGTGTTTGTAATCAATTACACGAATTGATTAAGAGAATCCAATATGATCATTGTGAACGAAGACAAAATAAATCTGATGAACCATTATCAATGAGTATTTTCGATCAAAATAATGATTATGAACAATCAACAACAGGACTTGATGGTCGATTTCTTCAAACACAATTATTAATTGCTTGTCTTGTTAAAATGAAAACGACTCCAAGAGATAAAAATGAATTTCTATTACAATGTCGAGAAATTTATAAAGATAATCCTAAACAATTAAAAATTATCGATGAATTTGAACAAGATTATGCCGATGAATATTCTTTATGGTGGTATAGTAGAGAAACTTTTATCTATCGTTTATTAAACAAAGCACTTCGTATTCAAAATATCGATTTTCTTTTCCTCTTTCGTTTTTTTATTCGTGATATTGAACAACAACTTTATGAAAATCAATATCTATCACCTATACGTGTCTATCGAGGCCAATTAATGTCATCGGATGAATTAAATATATTAAAAAAATCACAAAATAAATTAATATCAATAAATTCATTTCTTTC